GTATCGAGTATCGAATATTTTACTTAGTATCGGTATCGAGTTGAAAAGTTTTCTATCGTGACAACCCTACTCCATAGTCTTGAAAGCCTAATCTAACAGCTGTGGGTGTGATAAGATTAATGTTTTGGAAATCTGATTTTTGAAGTCTGCTAGGATCATCACCAATCAGAGTTTGAAATCCTTCTGTTTTGCTCTGGGGATGAGAGATATATCCGCATTAACATCAGTAATGGACTATGTTGGTCATTTTTAAACATATCTGTGTCGGTCCAATGGGTAAAATGAGGCAAATACTTATTTGCATCCAGTTTCTGCTTTTATTTCAGGAGGGGGAAGGGAGTAGATTGATCACATGGTTTGTCTGGTCATGTGACAGTGATGCAAAGGATCGTGGGTGTTTATCTGCAGGAATGTGGTCATTTTTTTGTTGATGTCAAAAGAGTATTAAAGTATACAGCATTGGTTAAAATCTGTTATTGGCCATAACTGTCGTTTTAAGATCAGATAACCATATGAACCCACATTTTTTCATGTTGTTGCGTCCCTATTATGAGCTACTGACATTTTCTAGAAGCTTTTTCTCAACCTTTATTTGCATTTAGGAAAGTCAGAGTTTTCAGTTTTTTTGCAACCAAGGAAAAGAGGTCAGATTTTGATAGTTTGCCATTTAATTTGTGTTAAATAATTTGCGTTCCTCTTGGCTTCCCTTTAAATGGACATAACTAAATCTGAATATTTGTGATCTAATTGTTCTGCACAGGAAAATTTTCTCAAACCCTTATATGAATGGATAAATCCAACATCAGCACTGAATGAAATGACCACAGTTGGAGCTGGATTTTATAATTCAAGAGTCAATATGAGAGACAATTGACCCAAAAACTAATAGAAACGTTCTTTCATTTAGATTCTAATAGAAAAATAACTCAATCAGCATTTTAAAGAACCTAAATGTGATTCTGCAGATAGTACCGCCTCAGAGCTGGACAAAGGGACTCACTATTATGCCTAAACTCTTGACTTCAGAAATCTGAAACAAATGAACTTAAAAATCTGCAGGGGATCAATGTATTCCTGAAGATATGAGGATTTAATTGGATTGGCTCACAAACCAAAAGCAGTTTTTGCAGTAGAAGTTTTGTGTTTAGATATTCTCTAGAGATTGGTTCCTGGTGCACGTCATTTGCAAGCCAGCACAGGCTGTTGGGAAACCTGCTGACTCACCACATCCAGACATTGGTCACGTTGATAAATCAGTCAGGAGGAATCTACAGCATTTACAGCAGGATATTCTTATTGAACTTTGGTGTTCTATCTAATTAAGCGAGTACAGAACCGGTTGCTTTGCAGCACGTTTAAGTCTATTAATTCTTATCCGCCCTCTAGCTATGCACCTAAATACCTGTGATTATTCTTTTCTCTCCTACCTGCAGAAATGTACAGCTTGTACTGCTACTCATCAGCCTCACACGAGCACACCCTCCTCACCTCCAGATCTTTTCCAGATTAGGTTTTCTACTGGCAGGAGAAGCACAGACTTGCTCACGCTGCATGAGCATTTGCATTCAGGCAGTCTTTTATTTCCCTTCTACTGCTCTGTTTTAGTGACAGTTAAAAAGGGGTTAAGTCGAAGGGCAAAAGCATAACAAAAAGTTAGATAAAAAAGTGAAATTTTTACTTACTTATCGGAAGCAGCTCTGTTTATACAGACATTAAAAGCAAGCATGTATTTAGTGGTGCAGTAATATCAGTACAATATAAACAGCATTAATATTATAGCTGTAAAACAGAGTAACCTTAATGCAAAATGATTGCACATTTCTACAGACCTTCTGTTTCTGCAACCAGAGATGCACCTAAGCAGTGTAACTTGACTTTTATTGGGGGAACATCAAGATTCCTTTTTTTCAGCCTGCTGACCAGCAGTGCAAAGCGAACTGGTTCAGCCTGGTTTCACTGCTTTACAGGAACTAAGACCGTGTGGCTAGAAGCAGCCAATCAGACCATGTTGGTTTTACACTGGGATAGTAATGGAAAAATTTATCTTTCTTTGATTAATCTAAACATTAACAGTTTTCTGCAGTATGTAGATAATATTTAAATCTCCTGAACATCCTTTAATGTTTTACAAAAAGCTGTCTGCATGGCTCTTATTAAGACGATTGCAGTGTTTCATGCGCAGGCTGTCGGCTCCTCTTCATCGCTCGCTCATCCTGTAACCACAGTAACTGTGATTTACTGTCATGCCGCCTGTGATTTTCAAATAACTAAAAGAACGTCCAAGAATTTATTTTCCGGTGGCCTACGCAACCTGCACAAGCAGATCCGAGCGGCGGCTGCTGGTAATCCGCCGTATGATCTCTTGTGTTTGTGTGCATCTCCTCAGGCGCTTCTACATATCATAGTTTCAGCCAATTCATCGCAGCTGATCGTTCGAGGGAGCCATTCGCTCTGGCTCCCTCGTCGCCCACTTGCCGGACGTGTGTGACTGGCTACAGGCCACCTCATTCCTACGCTTCGTGTAGAAACTTTATAGAGGAAGTTTAACAGTCTGTTCTTCTCTTTCTGCAGGGATGCATGCAGCTAAACTCAGAAGGAGGAAGGAGTTGCAGTTTGATACAAATGAGAAGGTGTGTCAACCTGAGACTGAAGGCTTCAACCGCTCAGGTTCTGCCTGGCTGACTCACAGCAGTTCTTCACTGGCAAGCTTTATGTTCCTGTACACATGCTAAAGCTGCCAGCTGAAGAACTGCTCTGGTCAGCCCTGCCCTACAGGCTTTAAGAAGAGGATAGCAGCTGGTGAGAATGTAGCTCACTAACCTGTTTTGTTTATTTGAAACATTTCTGTATTTTGTCTTTATCCATTAATTGATTTTATGGGGAAACAAAGTTTTCCTGCATATATTATGTAAACAATCTGTTTTCTCCTCTGTAAAATAAAGAACAAAATGTTCCCCTGAGACGACTCATTGTTCATTTCAGACTCAAGGCATTAAAATACCTCAGCAGAAGATGTCAACCATGACGATGGTGATTTTAAAAAAACTAAAATCCACAAATATGTAACAAAGTTTTGTCTGTAAGAATAAGACTATCCGTTTCAATGTTGTTTCTTTGAGTCCTAATAAAAAAAAAGTGATCAAACTTTCTATCCAGCCTGTTTTTAGATTCTATAACCCAGGACTCGGTTCAGCTGCTGTTACATACACTCTGGTGGAAGAAAAGAGGGAAAAACTTGCATAACGTCTGTTTTTCTCTGCCTGAAGGCGTCATCAGCTCCTCATCAAATTCCTCCGCAGCATGCTCACTTCTTAAGTCACAGGACAAACATGGAGAAGTGCTGGCATGTATTACAGAGGAGAAAAGTGTTTGGAAAACGGCTCTATTTTTAATTGTTGAATTTTAGTTTTCAAGTTTTTGAAAAGTTATGAGGGAATTCTTAACAAAAGCAAAGATGAATGGATATAAGATAAGACTAAGCTTTGAATTCAGTGTACTCATTTTGTATTATTTTATTTTATGGTTTTGCCACTGAATTTGATAACACTTTTGAAGCATGTATTCTCAAAACTCACCACCAGGTGGTGTAATGTCCTAAACTGAGGGGAAAGGATGAGGTTTTAAATTCTCACTTGAATAAAGATGAGATTGAATTTGTGAAGCATTTTTTTTTTTATATTGTCTTTTATTCAGCTTGGGTCCCCTTTAGGTTTGATATCTTGCAGAGAAAAAAAATATTCAACATTAAAATGCATTATTACTTTATGGGTGTTTTTTTATGCACAAGTTTAAACTTGTGTGGAGTTGCTTGATTCACAAAATGTCAGTGTGACACATTATAGCTAATTAAGGCATACCTTCTACTGAACATACTAGAATGTCTTATAACCCAGCATAGCCAGCAACTATTATATAACAATTGATTCTGTTTGCAAGCTGCTTACGGAATCTGATATGGTCAGAGCCAGGATAGGGTGGTGGGAACCAGGAAAAACTGAGGTTCAAGAGACTGTGACTGAGATAAAAACCAAGAAAGTATTTATTTTATTTTTTTTAGACCTGCAGCAGTCCTATTATTGAGCACAGTAGTGGTAGCTTCAGACCAGTTGACCTTCATTTCCAGAATCGCACGATAATTGCAGTTAAATATTTGGATTAATCACAGATGAACTATCAGCTTCAAATCATACAACTTCACCTAAAATTAACCTGTAGAAACTGAAACTAGAGCAAAATTAGATATTAAAATCAGCCAACAATCCAAAAGCAAACACAAACTGTTTTTATAGTGGGTAAAGTGGGATGTGATACCAGTCAAATTCATGCAAGAAGAAGTTAATAGTTCATGACTAATGGAGACCTCACTGCTGAAGGTTTTTGTTTCACACTTGTCTTTTTGGCCCAGTCTGGTATTGCAGCTCTACAAACAATTCCTTTGACTATAATTCTTTCTGCTCCAATGATCGCAAATATGGTAAATAAATATGGTATATAAAATGTGTTTAACAGGGATAATTTTTGACCAAATTTACAACAGATTCCTCAACGAAATGATCAGTAGGATATATATATATATATTTAATTATAATGATTATAAATATCAGAATTAATGGGAAATCACTATCTACTACCCTGTGCAGTAATCCTGTTAAATAAGAGACGTCAGCTGTTATATATAGATATATATGGAAGCACTGTATATACCCCATGCACCTTTTCCTCCTTTTAGCACCTTCTTTTGACTGTTGAGCCGATGCAACAAGTAAAATTCTCCACTGTAAGATCAATAAAGTATATTTTACCTTACGTACTTTTTGTTTCTGATTGTAGAAATAATTTGTAATGCACTTGTCAGATATCATGCATTTGATCAGGGTACATGGGGTAAACACATTATACACTTTTTAATTAAATAGATGCAGGATTTCTGTAGGAGTCTAATAACGTACAATTATTTTGGTATTTGTAGTTATTTGATATGCTTTATGGTTAATCTTTGTTTTTGCATTTACCAAATTTACTACTTAAAGTTATTAGATATTATTCTTAATTAATATCAATTTAGTGGATTTACACTTACTTATTGTGGATATTTGTAAATCAATTCATTTATCCTTGGGTTTAATGTTCCAGAGACATGATGCTTGAGATTTTAAATGCACCTTTATGCATTCCTTTAATGCATATATATAACGGTACAAGATCTACTCTTTTGCAATCTTTTGAGGTTGCAGTGAGTCAAGCCAGCTGCAAATAACTTCTTTATAGTGCTGTTTTTCTTTCAGGAAAAAGGGAAACTTCCTGTCGTATCTAAGCATACCGGCAGGGGGCGATGTCCATCCCCTTCCTGTCTGGACACAACAAAAAGCTCCACCTGCTGCAGACAAACCAGCAAAAACCTTAGAGCACAGATAACACTGGACTAAACTGACCAAACTAAAAGTAATTATATTCATTTTAAGGTGATTTCATATTCATAGCCTTAAAGGTGGGGCGGGCTTAATGGTTGCAAATCACAATGAAATAGAAACTATGAAATCACAAATAAAAGAAACAAATTGTGTATCTCTGTTTTTTAGACTGAGCCTTCTGTTTGTTGATTCATGCTATCAATTGTTGGCGAAGTTTAAGATTACAACCTAAAATAATAAATGACTAAACATCTTTCAACCCATGAAGATGAAATCTAGAGGTGAAATCTTAAAGACAATATGGAAATGGACTAAATTGTTTTTATTTTGTGTGTGTTTGAATGCAAAGCAATGATTGGTGATCACTGCAGTCTGGATGTCAGTATTACTAAAGAAGATGGAGGAAAGATTTCAAACATATCTGCTCTTCCTTTTTCAGCATAGAGCTGTGTTTACAGAAGTTACTTCATCTTTACATACACTGACCTTAAGAATAGATGTCAAATGTTTGTTTGTTTTCATAGGATGGGTAGTGAGACATACAGCTGTAATAGTAAAAAAAAAAAACAAGAATTTGACATACAAGTGTGAACTCTTTTTCTCCTGATATGAGCTGATGGTTAAACCTTCACATGAGCTAAAATATCTACACACAGCCCAGGTATGCCTGTTAAAGTGTTTTTTGAAGCTATTAACAAGATCTTGACCGAGAAAGAACCCAAAGGGACTCCTGCAGGCCTTATTTAACAGCAGAGGTGTCAAGTAACGCAGTAAAAATGCTTCATTACTGTACTTAAGTACACATTTTTAGTATCTATACTTTACTCCATTAATTATTTTTAGCATTTTTCTTCTACCCACACAAGTATCTGTACTTTCTATTCCTTACATTTTTAAAACAAAGGTTACTCATTACTCTTGGTTTCGGTTTAATGTTTATAAATATTTATTTCATGTCATGTGTGCCATTCAATGCAGATGATTGGCTCCATCCACATCTAGTGAAAACTAGTGTAATTGGATGAGTCATATAACGCAAACACTCATTGGTTAGCTAAAGGAAATCATCAGAAGCAAGCAGGTGTTCTTCAAACTGCAAACGTAAATTGTCACTGCCATGCTACAATGTGAGATTCAGAAAAAGATGGGGAAATGTCTGAAAGGTCGGACACAGGCGAGAGCGTATCGGGAGACGGAGACCAATAAGCCCTCCCTCATCCTTGGCCCTACCTCAAAGAATTTTTAAAATAGTCGAAAAATTGAGCTTTCAGTTCTTATAGTGGCATCTTGCTGGGGTTTTTTTTTAAGGTTACTTTATACTTTTATACTTTAAGTAGTTTTTGGAGTGCATACTTTGCATACATGCATACTTTTTCTTTTACTTGAATAAAGAGGATAAGTTTATACTTCAACTTTTACCAGAGTGTTTTTAAACTGCAGTATCTATACTTCTACTTAAAGGAATAGTACACCCAAAACATGATTAGCCTTCATTTTCTACTCACCCCCATGCTGAACAACACTCTGGAGTACTTTTTTGATATCTCAAATGCATCTGGAGATCTGGGAGGCTTCTTGCTGTCTGCTGACATTCAAATAATGGAGGTCTATGGTGCCCGAGACAGAAAGGTCCATAAAAGTCCACAAAAAACGTGTCAATATTCCTCCATACTGCTCGTCCAATGTATTCCAAGTGTCCTGGGTGGGTAGCGTCCATAATTTACTCGAAAAAAAGTCATTTAGAATGTTTTTAGAGGATAAACAGTAGTGTATAGTATTTCCTGAAAGCGCGCGCCAGCGCGTTCAGGACGCTACGGAAGCCGGCAGACCAAACCAGATGAAAGTGCGCATTCAGCGTCTGCTCTGTCAATAATAAAGCGTAGAAGAAGAAATGTGCTGTTTACCTGTGCAAAGAAAGAAACAACGAAAGAAAAATGTCTGAGGACTTCAGTGTTGAGGAAGAGCATGAGTTCTTTGCCGAGCTGAATGCGCACTTTCGTCTGGTTTGGTCTGCCGCGGTTTCCGTAGACTCGTGAACGCGCTTTTAGGAAATACTATACACTACTGTTTATGCTCTAAAAACATTCTAAATGACTTCGTTTCGAGTAAATTCTGGATGCTACCCACTCAGGACACTTGGAATACATTGGACGAGCAGTATGGAGGAATATTGACACGTTTTTTGTGGACTTTTATGGACCTTTCTGTCTCGGGCACCATAGACCTCCATTATTTGAATGTCAGCAGACAGCAAGAAGCCTCCCAGATCTCCAGATGCATTTGAGATATCAAAAAAGTACTCCAGAGTGTTGTTCAGCATGGGGGTGAGCAGAAAATGAAGGCTAATCATGTTTTGGGTGTACTATTCCTTTAAGTAGCAAATGTGTGAATTTTTGACACCACTGCTAAACAGTTGCCCATACTGTCCCAATATCTCCTGGTAAAAGGTCAGACAGGACTCAGAGTGTTTCATGACTATTACTGAAAAAACTTGCTTATAACCCAGAGCTTTATTTATCCATAAAGCTTGATACTACAGGAAAGTCATACTTGAAATAATATTCTTATTTTAAAATCAGAAAAGGCACGTTGTTACTCTTGACACATGAAAAACAAACTTATTCAGTCGCTTTATCTGGAAGACATTATCTTGACATCTAGTAAAGACATAAAGAGGCTTAAAGGTCTGCTTTAATCAGCTCATATCATAAAAAAGATATTAATTATCTGATAACAAAGGTAGCTTAATAGGAGATTTTTACAGAATTGGCATACGGCAGACATCGATTATTCAGTTAGTAAATTAGATAACGATTAATCGGACTGTTTCAGTCTTAATTAATAGGCCTCTGGCAGAAAGCACGAAGTATGACGGTTTATAGATATAAGATTGGGTACTTTCTTACCTGGGATAGTTCAAACTCCTGTATTATAAGACTATATTTATTTGCCTTGTCACTTATGAAGTTATTAATGAGTCAATTGAAAGAGCTTACAGCTGGATTCAGTTAGGAAATCCCTGTGATGTAGCTTCTACGAGGGGTGAGGTGAGCAGCAACATGTGTCTGTTTTCATATCGGCAGAGGATGAGTCTCTGTGGCAGATTAGTTACAGGATGAGTTACCTGTAGCCTCCCCTTATAAAATAGTCCTACAGTGTTTCTATCAGATCAGTGGAAGGTAAGAAATACAAACATCTCTGTTATCATACTTAAAAATACAGAAGAGGATTAGGGCCACTGAAAAAAAAGTTAACTGATTTTTAAATTTTATTTCAGTTTAACATGGAAAAAAAGTCAGAATTCTGACTTAAATCTCAAAATTCCGACTTTAATCTCAGAATTGTGACTTTTTTTATTGTCAGAATACAGTGAGAATTCTGAGATTAAAGTCAGAATTCTACGGTGGCCCTGAAGTGCAAACTGCAACTACAAATCCAAAAGCGCAACTACATTAAGGAAATCGCAACTACATAAAGCAAAGCGCAACTACATTAAGGAAAACACAATTACATTAACCTACCGGAAAGGGTA